GTTTCAGTTGAGTTTTTAATTTTTTTGTTGTCCAAAACTACGTCAAGTACCAAACAAAAGCAAACAACAACATTGTAATAGCGACCGCACGCAGACGGGGTTAGAGTTGGCCATAAATGGTCTGGTCGGTGGAGCAACACTCTTGTTGTTGTTGCTGCTGCTGCTGCTGGTTCGCCCCCTTTGACAAGGCACACTGACTCACACACACACACACACACATGGACAAATCATTTGCAAAAGTTGAACAATGTTAAGTTGTGAACATCCACAGATCTTTTGGAACAAATTCATGCCACTTCCTAGGCTTGCCACAGATACAGCAGAGCGTGAAGAAACGTGTCTATCTTCTTGGTATCTCCTCAGCACTGGCAGAGCAACTCCAAGAGTACCACAACGAACTTAGAGTAGTACTAGACTCTAGTATTTTGAATAGATTTTAGGTGCTCAAGTATTTTGTTAGACGACGAACGTCGTCGACGACGATGAAGTCTTATCCGTTGTGAGCTGGTATGCATGCTAAAACGCTCATCCGTCCGTCCATCCGTCCGTCCGTACGCCCGTCTGTCTGCCTTGTTTTTGCGGGTAGGGTATTTACTTGAATGTCGTGAGTCAAAAAATCTGGGGCGAACTATTGAGTAACTGACAACAGGCAACCACCAACCCGCCAAGCCAACCTCAAGTACTTGGTGGGCAAGAAAATAGCAAAATGGCAAAACAAAAACAACTTAGCCAAGAAGCCAAGAAACTTTAACTAAAATAAGACCCCAAACTTGCAGAGCCCACCAACTAACTATTTAGCGGACAAAAAATAGCTACGACGGAGAACTTCAAAATATCCACAAAAAAAGCGAAAATCCAATGAAAAAATACTTTCATATGGGTGGCAAATCAGCCGTCGCAGCCGCTGCTGCTGCCGTAGCTCTGCCTGCATTGTCAAAAATGCAACCAACACCCCACCTCAAATGAAATCAAAAGCGAAATTGATTTTTTTTCTTGCCTTCATCAGAGTGCAACTTACTTTAAAATCCCTCCGCCGCTATTCAGGAACTAAAAAATGGAAAATGAATTCAACACCGCAACCAGGCAACAATAACATGCACCAATAATGCAGCAGCCCCGCACCCGCACCCCCACCCACCACCAAAAGCTACAACTAGACTATCTGTTTCGTGTGAATAATAACGGACTAATCGCTGTAATGATACTCGTGCTAATAACGACTAACAGCAGCAGCAACAGCAACAACACCACCGACGGGGTAAAATTCAAAATTCAATTCAATTGTAACCGAGAATGAGGTAGTGCAGTGGAGTGTGTTTTGCATTTTGAAAATAACATCAATGAGCGTGAAAATAGCAGAGGAGGAGTTGCAGAGTTTGTGGATACAATTATTAGAGTTGTCTTGTCTGGTATTTGGGATGGTCTTAGCCTCTATGAAACTCCAAAATGTATTATCGTATTTTGTACACATGTCGTGTATTGAGTATTTTCAGACGTATACCCTCATGCAATTTGAGATGTGTTGAGTTTGAGATGAATCGGATGTTCATTTCGCGCTTTACGACCTTCATGTTTATTCACAATTTTGACCCGTTGTGGGGGAGGTGCCAGAGGGAGTGGACCGATATATCCCAACTTCAGAACAGATCTTGTGTTATTAAGAATATTGGGATTTATCAAATTTAAAGGCAATTAATAAGAGTTATAATTATTTTTACTCTTTGCGCGTGAGGTACTTCATGGAGTAAAAAAAATGTGATTTTAGAAGTATTCACAAAAACGAATAATCCTATTTCTTTTTATGCGGGAAATTATTTTCTTTACAAAACATATATATTCGGTACAATATATTGGATAAGCCGGACTTCAGTCCGAGAACTCTAATTCTCCTTCCGTATTTCCCATGAATATCTTTGAGAATCCGGTCCGACTTGGCTAAACATTTAGACTTTCATCCGACCCTTTGGTTCGACAGTATGTCAACCACTTTCGGTCGGACCGAATACGCATCCGAAATCGTAAGTTTCATCCGACTTTGGGTTCGAAGTCAGACCAAAATCGGACAGTTTGGTTTGCTATGTATATTCATGTCATCCAATTTGATATTGAAGCCTTTTTAAAGTGATAATGTACACTACTTATTATTAATATTTGTTACATACAACATTAAAAAATCCGGCGACAATGCATAGTGGTGTAGGATATCATGTAGCAATTATCTCGCTGATACCTGAAGGGAATGAAGTTCAAGAAATTAAGAAAAAATAAACATGAAAGTAAAGCCCCATTTTGAGAATCTTCGGAATTCCAAGGGCACCTGATTTCCTCACGCCTTAAAATAATCCAAGTTCCATATTGACTGGAGGGTAAGGTATTCGACGAATAGAGTATCATTATTTTGAAATGTAAAGTGGTCTCATCACATCTATATTTAGAACTCCGGAACGATGCCTCTGACTGGCATCATATTGATAACTTTAAAGAGGTATTTAACACCCGGTTCAACTAGCTGTTATCAACTTTTTTTTGGGACGTCCGCGACAATGCTATACCTCCTATTAATAAAATATACTACCCATATTTCCTACCTCAGGGGTCATTGCAATTATATTACAAAACGAAGTTGCAGTTTAGGTTGCTGTTGAGGAGACAGCTCCAGCCCCTTTGTCTTTTGAGATAAACACATGTTTTAGGATTTTTTGGTGGGAGGTCGGACAGAACTTTTTTGGATCCGATACAAAGGGTCCTTACGTGCCTTGTGGCAGTTTTCGGTTTTTCTGTTGGATATGCTTCTTTTTCCAGAAGACATGACATTCTTTAAGTCAATCCTATGGAATTCCTTTAAGAAGAAATCGGTCGAATTTGCCGACAGATATATGCCCTTAGCCCATGACATTCTAAATGGGGGTGTTAGCAGATTTTATACATTTTCTAACTCTAACTCGAGTAGAAAGGTATTTGTAAATCTTTGTGTAATATCTTCTATGATATGGATAGATAAAGTCGGAAGACTTATAAAGTATGTAAAAACATATTTCCGTATATCATGTCCGCCTCCGCCTGTCTGTTAAAATCACAAGAGAGTTCGCACTAATAATGATGAAACGAAATTTGGCACAGACACTAAAATTGTGCTTTGATATTGAAAATGGAATATATTTTAAATTTTGGGTATTTTTGAGGTTTTGGTCTCATTTCCAACCGAGATAACTGTAAACAGAAGTTTCGTACTCTCAGTGAGTAGATTTACTCCTCTCAAAAACATGAAATGTACGTCCAATTTATGGTATAGTCCCCATAAAAGGGTACGTACTGTAATTTTATATTTCGGTTTCTCAGTGGATATATTAACTCCTTTCAAAACATATTCAATAGAAGCATAAAACTTCCAAATTTAAGGCATTTTGAGGAAAGGCAGTAAGCCAAGTTCCAATTTCGGTGTGGGCTTTGTGTGGCATAAAAATCTTATGAACATTTATCTTAAAACCACTTTTAGAATAAGTTTTTTATGTACTAAGATCGGTCCAAAAGCGAGGCACTGTATCTAAATTTACACGTAATCCATATTAAATTATACACTATTAGACGGTTGGGTGACAGATATATTCCCCCTCATTTGGCCGCGTAGGCAAATTCACATTTAAAAATTACAAAAAATTAAATATAATTTAAATATATTTTGAATATATAGATAGAATATAATATATACTTAGAGCATATATTTTAATTTTTAACCTTACATAAGTTTTCGTAGAAAGAACTTGCAAAGTTTGAGGAAAATCAGAAAATAACTGAAATTTGCATTCTTTGGGGGAGGTATCAGAAAGGGATGTATAGGGGAGGATATCTTGACCATCATCCGACTAGTTCTAATTTTAATACTCTCCTAGCGAACTAACCAACCAGAGAGGCGGACATAACTATACCAATTTGATACGACTTTCGTCCAAAGGGCCATCCATAGAGTCAAAACCCTACATTTTGGACTTATGAAATTCTTTTCACCTTTAGTAGCCCTAAGATTAATTCAACGACATGAGATATTAAACATATCTGCACTTGTGCACTAACCTCCATAGATCCCAAATAAACCATTATTTTACTTGACAAAATATCGAAATAAAATTGTCCAATCTAATATGGAAATGACGACATACATAGGTGTATCATTATTCAAAAAATAATCTAAACTTTGATGTTTCATTTCCGTTTTCATTTATTTCGATCGTAATGATTTTCCATTGCGATTTCCATTTGACATTGAGACACATCCACAACAGCCAGTGTGAACTTTCAGTCATGAACATGAAATTGCAACATCGACAATTTTTCAGATCTTTTTGCCCAGAGGTTTAGAGCGGTTCGAGTGATTTGGTTCGAATCGCAGTTTTCTAGGTACAAGCTAATTACACTTACATATGCAACTCTCCATTTGTGTGTGTGTGTGTGTGTGTGTGTGTATTTGAATGATATGCAAGTGAAAAACAAATACAGCGAAATAAATCATCACAAAAATTATGATGATCATCGTTCGTTTTCCGTACAACAAAAACAACAAACAACAAGCTTAGAAAAACAAAACAGAAAACACAGCATCGAACTGAATTTGTAGTGGTTCGAAAATGACTTCATGCTCTGTGCGACAGGCGGCGACAAGTATGTGGAAGTCAAATGGAAAATAGTTTGCGCTTGATTTACTTAGCTTAGAGTTAGTACGGCGACGAGTATGAAGTCATCTTCCGCAAAATTTGCATCTATTTTTATTGTTTTGAACTTTTCAAAAGGCAGCAACAACAGCAAAAGTGAAAGAAATCTGGGAAAACAATAGAATGATTTATTCAGAAAAACCACAACAGCGATAAAAAAATAAAAAAGTGAAAATGAACGAAATTTAGAGGAAAATCCTCGGCTTAACTGCAATAGGCTCCATTTTTTGTAAAACCTAAAAAAAAAAAAACAATACAAAACCATCAACGTAGTAATGAAAACCAGAGAAGGAAATCAAAAGTTACATACCCACTTCACCTTCTCCACATCAAAATAGACAGTGACTATTTGTTGAGAGTTGAGATCGCTTTTGAATTTTCCTTTGATAAATATTTTTGTGAAAAATAAGTGAAACATCGTTAAACTGGTTTTAATGATTTCAACTCTGGCCCGGACCACAACACAAAAAAAGAAACGAAAAAAATTCACCAAGTCCTGCAAATGATCGAATGGTGGTGATTTTACTATTGCCGCCATACTCAACAAATGGCTGTGATGGAAGAAGTTCAAACGAAAGCAGTAGCCCCGCTACAACAGCATCCACAACATCGACCGGTGACACTGCCATACCGGCGGCCAGCTATGCAGCCGGCCACCATCAACCAAAGAGCGGCCAAGAGGACGAACATCAGCATGGCACCGGAAATGGATCATACTTCCACTATCCACAATACCACCACCAGGCAAACCAAACTGCCCCACCGTTACAAACAACAGGAACAACAACACTGCCGGATGCAACACCAACCATATTCGAGTACAATACCACACAACATCCACACCATCACCACCACCACCACCTCCACAACACAAGAATATCAGCAACACCAACTGACGAAGAGAGTAATACTAGTCATTATCACTGTTTTCAGAGCCCAGGTTCAATATCACCACCCCCGCCACCACTACCCACAAGTAGACCACCGAGTTATGTTCCTTTTGGCAGTGATTGGCTGCCTCCGCCGCCGCCACCATCACCATCACCTCCAGAACCAAAGCTGTGCAATGTGGTACCCAAACCACCACGTTATCGGTCGCAGCAAACACTGGAAACCATACCGGAACATGTCTCCGATCCAGTGTCCACCTCACCACCAGCCAATGAGGATGGCAGCGGGGACCCACCAGCCACAAATAGCGCTTTCACAGGTTCGATTCCAGTATCGGGCAGCAGTTATCACAAGAAGAGACGGAAACCACCAGCCTCACAACCGCAACCAATCACCACCACCAACAATGACCACAACAAACCGTCGTTCAATGACTCTAATTATTTTACTAACACCACCACTAACTATGTCCGACACGTAACCCGTGTTAATTTCTATGATGTCGATACTTCCCAGGTCGAGTACGAGTCAAGAGATTACGATGGCGATGATGGCGAGGCCGCTAACAAGGATGACTGTGATCTGGACGATGATAATGATTGTAATATAGAAGCTATAACCAAAGAAGGTATGTAAAGACACACTTCATTAACTATGTATAGAACGATTTCAAAAATTCTAATCTAATTTAGCATAGTTGTTAAAAATGAAATTTCAGTTTTGTTTCGACACATATAAGTCTTCAGCATTCGTCAACTTGCAATTTTACATTAGATCAAATGTTAGTATAAATATTGCAATGTGCAAAGTATGAGGAGAAAGTTATGTCCCGAAAAATAACATCTTCATGCAAGATATGGTAAAAAAAATTACATTTTCCTGTGCCACGGACCAATTTGGACACAACGGACACTCGATCCGTTTTTAATGTGATATGGAGATTTTCGAGTTTTTGTAACTTTTCCAGCTAAAATAATATGACATGTTACGTTTGAAGAACATCGGATACTGATTGCATATTTTTAGTTATTATTATTCAGAATACTAGCGTTTTGTAGCCAAAGGATTGGGTTAAGATTGGCCATTTCGTACCTAAAACCTAACGATGTGCCAAGTTTAAATTAATACGAAGACGAGGTACTGTATACGCGATTTATTGGCATAGGCTGTAGTACCCATTAGGAGCCTCAAATACGAAATATAAAACAATTCCATTAAATAATGTCGGTAATATCATAAAAATGCCGAACAAGGGATGGTACCGTTACACGTGAGGTATACGAAGACGTGGATCTGCATATATAATTTTCTGTCACAACTTAAAGTATCCATTACGAACTTCAAATTCGAAATTTGTAACAAATTCGGTGAATAATGTATCTAAATTCATTAAAATAACGGATATCCGGAGGTATCCTTATATAGTGGCTATAGGAAGGAAATTTTCGTCATAGGCTGTATTACACATTACGAACTTTAAATACGAAATTTGAAACAGTTCCAGTCTATAATGTCTCTAATACCATAAAAATGCCGAATTTTGGAAGGTACCGATATATATGAGCTATACGAAAGCGTGGATCTGAATACGTAATTGTTTGTCATAACTTGTAGTACACATTAAGATCTTCAAATACGAAATTTGAAACAATTCCGGTCTATAATGTGTCTAAAATCATTCAAATACAGAATATATAGAGATTTTATGGGCCCTATACCAAAACGTTAACCGACTTGACCCATTTACGAACTTAATCTCCCTAACTACAAAATACACATGTAATCATTCGAAAGATAGCGTGATTACAACAAACAGATGGACATCGTTAAATCGACTTAGAATTTTACATGATCCCGAATAAATATATACTTTGTAGGGTCTATCAGGATTATTGCGACCATGTGAAAACGTATGGTCTTCAGGGGGGTATATATATCATATAACGGTTTTAGACCTAGGTCTCTTTGGAGGAAATCCTTCTCAGAACATTTAAAATCAATATAGCGGAGTCCGTCCGTATCTGTCTGTCTGTTGCACACGATAACTTTCCTCGGTACGTCGAACTTTGTATCAGAGGTTGGTCAAATACTAAAATTGATAATATCGGCCCACTACTTCTAATAAAAAAACGTATAAAACGTGAAGTAAGAGTCCGACTGTCTTAAACTGACCCAATATTTCTACCAACTTTAGATCTGGTATAATGATGAGCGGGAACGGACTAGTACTTTCAGTTCCTCCCAAAAACGGATCAATATTTTGAACAACTTAATCCCAATATTTCTAGTAACACAAGACATAGTGTGGGATATAGAGGACCACTCCATTTGGTACCTTCTCTGCAAAGGGTTAAAATTTTGAATAATTATAGCCTTACGATTTTCACGAAACTTACTATATTTTAATATTTTTACAAACTATGTATACATTGTCAATATGGGGTATATCGGGCCACTCCTTCTGGTACCTCACCAACAAAGGGTTAACATTTTGAATAATTATAACTTTCTTAAAATTAAAAAAAAAAAAACATTGTTATATTTCGCCCAACATTAACTTTTGCGGGAATAAGGTGAGGGCCGCTTCTATTACCTTTTCCTTAAATAATTTAAATAAGTTTTTTTTTTTAAATACGGATTTGTAGTGGATTCAGTTCAAAAATGTGGTTAGGACCTTTAAAAGTCTTATAATCAGTGGAATTTGTTAAGCAGTAAGCCTAGAAATATTACTAGCAACTTAAAAATCAATGAACCGACATGATTCATCCGGGGTACAGCAATGTGAGGGCTAGACTTAAGTGGAGCTTTACGGAAAATGTTCTGAAAGAAGGTTAGTTTTCCACTGAGGACGTGAAATGCCAAATTGCAACTTGTAAGTTTGGAAAGTGCATCAGAAACCTATAAAATATTTTAAATCTGTTCTATAGGTACATAGGTATATATAAATAACACTTATTTAAATATTTTAAGTACTTTTCGTGCACTATGTAGGGATTTTCGAATCGATCTTCCCATGTCATCCACATATACCAAAAATGGCCCCCATATCGTATTTTGAACAATACTGCTTGGTATACTTTCCGAATTTCCAAAATTTCCAATATCTGCATTTCGAACGTTTTCAAAAGCGCTATTTTCATTGTTTACCCAATTTCAATGGTACAAAATTTAACACCATTTAGTACTTTTTCGATACATACCAACAACGACGACATTTTAAAAGTAGTTTTTGTTCACACAATTCCAATGATACTAAATGTCGACGTACTTTTTGGTATTGTCAAATCCGTATTTTATTTCAATTAAATTTTAAAGTTGAAGCCATATTTATTCTTCTGCCAATGGTACCAAATGTTGAATTTTATCGTATATTTAGGGCTTGCAAATTTAAAAATTTTACTTCCACCCGCTTACAAATTTAATACTTTTCATGCCAAAAAAACTAAACCATCTAAATGCCATATTCCCAATTTGGTAATTTTTTTTAACATTTTGGACGGTATAAAATGGGTATAATGGACTCCTTCGTTCCTATCCTAGTAAAGATGCAATTTCAGGTTTTCTTTGCCTATTATCGCCGATATATTTCAAATTAGTGTTAGAGGAAGACAAAACACAAGTAGGGATCCGATACTGTCCGTTTTCACACCTGACCAAAATTTTTTACAAATATTAGAATGCACAAAGTTTGAACTGAAGTGTGGACCGTGTTTATACAGGGTTGTCCATATTCGACGGACCCATCTCGCAACGCCATAACTTTTGACAGAGATGTCACATCGCTTAATGACATACCGCGTTTGAAGCGTCAGTTCAAGCAGATTTTTACCATGAACCAATACACGCCACGCGAGCGCTCTGAAATAGTTGAAATTTACATTCAACAGAAGAAGTCAATTGTGAAAACTCAACGTGCTTTTAAAACATTAAAAATGTGAGAAGTGCGTCTTCTAAGAACACCATTAAGCGTTTATACGAAAAAATTTCGACTGGTAAGGCTCTTTCTAATCCGAAGAGGCCATTTAAAAGTCGACTAAGGCGATCGGCCGAGAATATCGCTGCCGTACGAGCCAGTGTTGAGAGGTCCCCAAGAACATCCCAAAAACACCGTTCTCAGAAGTTGGGCATGGCTCGGTCCACTTTACAACGGATTATTCGCATTGATCTGCATTTGTTCCCACACAAAATTCAATTGACGCAAAGAATGTTGCCTGCGGACAAGCCTCGTCGATTGGAATGGGCTCCAAGGTCCCAAAGTTCCGTCGAATATGGGCAACCCTGTATATGATTTCTCAAATTTTTACATTTTGAAGGGAAATTGCTAGAAAAGAGGACCCACCTTTACACCACAATTAATATTAGCAGAAATATGCCAAGTTTAAAGAAATTCAAGTTATATTAACTTTATGTTTTATGAGAGTTACTACTCATATTGAATTTATGGACTATGAACACAAAAATTATTAACCGTATTTAAAAGATTGTTTAAGCAACCGTACTAACCTAAAAATGTCAAAAATGGCGCTAGCTCGTTAGCTGATACCATGTCCACGTCCCACACTGAGGGGATGATGGGTGAAAACGCATCAGATTTTAAGTCATCCATTTAGGCTTACAAAATTCCACCTTACATTATTTGTCCTCGAAATTATTTCCGCATTACTTAAAATACTCCGCTTCGTTGAGAATTACACAAATTGATTTGTATTGATTACAATACATAATTTGAGATTACAATCTAGACGAGCCGAGTTACACGATTCTTCTTCTTCTTCTTCCTCATTATTGCTGTTTCAAAATGCATGTTCTGTTAAATGGCTGAATGCAAACAACAAACAAACCCGGTACAGAACTGTCAACTTTTTTCAAAACTTGTCGCTCAAAGTTAAAATTATGGCAGTGTTTAGTTGAAGTTTCTTTTGTTGTTGTTGATGAATAGCAAAAAACACAGAAGTGATGAGCGCTGCCTATGCGTTGAACAAAAACAAAAGCCCAACCAGCTGCAACTGCAACAACATCCAAATTGGACGTGTATGGATGTGTGTAACACAGCGATTCTCTCGTAATAACTAAACGACCTTTAATGGTCCAGTGCAACTGCAACACAATGCAAATTACGGTAAATTTTGATGAAACCCAAGCCGAACTAGCGAAGAGTTTGGACAACACAATGGATGGGCAAACGGTCGGGCGGATGGAAGTACTGACTGACAGATAGACAACTAGGAATTATAATTATACCCTCATAGAAACACCAGAAACACCAATTCAGTAAAATTAGAACCTGAAGATGGGGATATGGCAAGTAAATGCAAAGTTTGCATGTACAGATGTATACAGATGGTGGGTATGTGATGTACGTACACGCACTGTGATTCCCAACTGGAAAAATTGGGCATAGTTTGATTTCCAAATTAAAATTGGATTTTGATGTTCTAGAAAAAATACTACCACAAGTAGAACTGCGGACCTCCTGGTAAATATTTTGAAGAGAATATTTTACAACTTTTTAGGAGAATATCTGCAAGTCTTACCGTGTCGCAATCCTTCTTAGAACCTGAAATGCCAATTTACAACTAATTTGCGTGTATAAGCTCAAAATACTTAATTTACGAAAGTATGTACCATTATTTTGAGTCTATGACATATTGAGGACCTATATAAAATGCAGCTCTACAAAGGCTGGGTTTTTTTTTGGAAAGTCGTGAATAAATTGTACGAGAAGTACTAAAATGCAGTAAAAATTGGATACTTTGTATTGGACATGATATTAGCTAGAATTCTGAAGTTCGGAATGAAATTTAGTGATGGAGTTCAAAGGATTGGAAATTCGAACATTAGGGTTACCAAAAGTTCTAAAATGGTACTAAATTTCTAAAATAATACCGTTTGGTATTATGTGAACGGATTCAGATAAAAACTTGAAATTTGGTATGAAAATCAAGGTTGAAAAGTGAGATTGATATATGAAGGTGGTTTTGGAAGTGCGGACTAAGTGTTTGAATTAATTTGCTTGAGGGTAAACGGATGAAGCAGGAATTTTGAAATTTTATATTGGAATCCCTTTTGGTAATAGGTATGTGACAAAGAGGTGGTTATGGAAATGTATACTATAAGTGTACTAAAAGTACTAAATAGTACTGTATCTGGTACAATTTGGTATTGGGTGAACAGATAGTTTTTGAAATCCGAAATTTTGTATTACGGCAGCTGTTTCGGAATTGTGAACTACATTTGTACGAAAATTACGAAATGGTACTACATTTGGTATTGGGTGAAGGAATAGAGATAAAATTCTGAAATTGGATATTAAGGTCTCCGTTGGTATCTGGAATTGAAATTTAGCGGTGCTTTGGAACTGCGTCCTGTATTTGTACAATATGTACTAAATGGTACGAAATTTCCTAAAATCCGAAAATATGAAAGTGATTTTGGAAATATGTACTATAATTGTTCGAAAGTGATACTAAGTGGTACTAATTTGGAAATTGGGTGAAGGAACAGAGCTGAAATCCTCAAATTTGATATTGAGATCTCTGTTGGTATCTGGAATTGAGATTTGGCGGTGGTTAGGAAATGCGAACTATATTTGTACGAAAGGTACTAAATAGTACAGAATTTCCTGAAATCCTGAAATTTGATATAGATGTGTTGGCGGTTAAAATATGAAGCAGGTTTTTGGAAATATGTACAATTATTGTTATTGGGAAAGAGCTGAAATCCTCAAATTTGATATATCCTCAAATTTGATATTGAGCTCTATGTTGGTATCTGGAATTGAGATTTTTCGGTGTGTCTTATATTTGTACGAAAAGTACTAAATGGCAAAGAATTTCCAAAAATCCTGAAATTTGATATATATGTGTATGCGGATAAAATATGAAGCAGGTTTTTGGAAATATGTACAATTATTGTTATTGGGAAAGAGCTGATATATCCTCAAATTTGATATTGAGCTCTATGTTGGTATCTGGAATTGAGATTTTTCGGTGTGTCTTATATTTGTACGAAAAGTACTAAATGGCAAAGAATTTCCAGAAATCCTGAAATTTTAAAATTAAGTCGGTTAAAATATGAAGTGTGTTTGGAAATAAGTACTATAAGTGGTACTAATTTGCGTATTGGGTGAAGGGACAGAGCTGGAATCCTCAAATTTGATATTGGTATTTCTGTATCTGGTATCTGGTGTTGAGATCTGATAGGGGTTGTTAGTGCTATAATTGTTTAAAAAGTAAATGGAAGATTTTTTGATGTTAAAGTTTGACATTATTCTTTTATTCTTTCCGAAATAGAAAATACTTGAATAACTTATCAAATCTTGAAAATCCTAAAATTTAGTACGATGTATACAAATTAATACAATTGTACATATTTAGTACTAAGAGCTAACACGAAATGTTGGAACGAATTTAAAATTTTAAGGTTAACGAATTAGCGAGCACTTGCTATTTTGATCCAAAATTATGACTGCAACATTCAAAACACCCATAATCAGAAGGTACAGCTATAGGGGGACTATATTTAAACAGGTGCCGATAAGGCCATTTGGTAAAACCAATTATCTAAAGATTAGTGCAAACTTTTATCCAAATTTCTAAATAAATTAATATGACCTCAATATTGATTTTGATAGACCTACATGTGTAACATCAGACTGACGGACAAAAATAGATAAATTGATAGAGAATATTAAGCATATCTTGAATATACACCTTATGGCGTCATTGACGAATTTTTCAAATTGACAATTGACAAAGGAAAATTATGCTGTTGATTATAAAAATAGACTCTAAAAAATTAGCCTTTACATTCCGAATTTAATTCTACAAAACTATAGAATTTTTAAACACATTTTTTCCTTCTCGAACCACTGTGACATATTTGATGTTGCAAGTGCAAAATGTGTTAGATTACTTTGTGTTTCGAAGTACATACAACAGCAACAACTAAATTTGCGTTTTTTTTTTTTTTTTTTTTTTTTTTTTTTTTGTATGGATGGATGTATTTATGCACAATCATATACGTAGGTATCCAAGTTTTAAACACACTTAAGTGTATTCCATTAAAATGTGCATTGCCGTTAAACTCTGACGAGATACGTTTACGTCGTCGTCGTCGTCATCGTTTAGAAGTTTGCCACATACTTCATTAGTATTGATAACAATGCGAACCGTTAGGACCGGAAAAACAAGAAACATTTGTTGCTGCCTCGAAGTGAAGGCAAACTCAGCCAACCTGAGATATTGAATCATCATTAATTAGCTCACAATTAAGGTGAATTCTTTCTTTCACACAGTTCTTCAAACCAAAATTCAAACACTGGACAGACAAAGGCTGACAGCAATCAGCCACCAGTCAACACTGCTCTATTACCAACAAAAAATAAAAAACCTAAAATAAAACGGTAGAGGAGAGTGGTGTTATGAAACTTAAAATAAAATCATCGATGCAAAACGTATCGCCGTCATAATTTAAAGTTAAGTCAGTAAACAAACCCGTATTGAAGTTTTAAAATCAAGCAAAAAATGCAAAAATATTTTTTTAAACAAAGTAGATGGTATAGATAACAAAGGCAAACTGATATAGGGCAACAGATATATTTAATCACAAAAATACAACAACAATAATACTAACAACACACATATCTTGCACAAACAATTCAAATTTGTGCAATGCTAACTTTTAATAGCAATTTAAAACAACCAAAATAAACATATGCCCTTCACATTCAATTCAGTTTGTGACCATTGTAATGAATTATGTTTAGCATACTTTTAGGCAGTTGTGTAAAATCATTGTAAATCAGACGTTACACCCAAAAAAATAGTTGTTGTACTAACTAATTTTCCCCTCTTTTATTTCTCTCTTCCTCTCTCGCTCTCTCACAAACACACACAAACATCGTGTTGTTTCTGGCCAAACAATTGCAGAAGAATGGATAACAAAACGAAAAACCGAACTTACCACAACACGTCAAATCGAAACCCATGTCAAGCGTTCGATACGTTTTGAAGATGGCAAAGTTATTGAGGATTCTGGTCCCATTGTATCGACAAATACCACCGAGGATACGGATAAGCAAGAAACTGAAACGACAGAGGTAAGAAAAATGTTTATTTTTATACACACACTTTTAAATGGCTAATTTTAGTTATAGTGATGCGGAAATTAATTGGGAATGATATTTTTATTTATTATGATTAAAAATGAAAGAATTAAAAAAAAAAACATTAATTTTTAAAATAATGCAAATTAAATTAACTTATTTCCGGGAAGATTTTTCCAAAAAAAAAAAAAAAAAAAACACGAAAGGACCCGATGGTATTGCTGGCGAAGCTTTATTCATATCTTTCTACACTTTAGTAAAATATACCAATTTTTGTCTCAAATTCATAAGATTTTCCTATAATTATCAAACACAGATTAAAGTTGGAAATTAAATTAAAACAAATAAATATTTTATCATGTCTACTCTGCTTAAACTCCTAAAAGCAAAATATATTTTGCGTTTCCCTGATGATTAATTTGGATTATATGGAGTCGATGCGATCCGATTCTTCTGATATTTTCTTCGCAAACATTTTCAAAAATCACAACTGTTATTCGATTCGGGATATGCGAAGTTTGAACAAGACCAGAAACTGATTTCAAATTTTGCTAGAATAATTTTTTATACTAAATTTTTATTCTAAATTTAAATACGCCTAAAACGTAATGTTGGAACCAATCTAAAATTTTAAGTTGGAATTTCCCCCAATGAAGCAGGGGTACTTTTAGTATTCATATAAAGCTTAGGGCAACAGTTAACATGGGAACAATTCTGGCACCTTACCGCATTTTTCTCATGATCACTGTTGGCCTTTTTTATATGATTACTAGAAGTACCCGCTACTTCATCGAAAATTCCACCTTAAAATTTTAGATTAGTTCCAACATTTCGTGTTAGGCGTTTTAGTATCCAAAATCCACGATTTGTTCAGTTTGACAAAATTAAAAAAAAAACTTCCTACATTCTACTAAATTTTCAGGCTTTCAAGATTTTTCATATTATTCAAGTTTTTTCTTTGTCAGAAAGAATAAAAGGAAGCTTTTACACCAAAAAGTCTTTAAAATCTTTCATTTTTGAGTTTACCACCCTCATACAATTTTTCTGTCTAAAACTATTTCAACGTCTCCATGTGTAAACCCTAAAAACCAACCGTGACCTCAATTCTAAACTTCAGAATATCAGCTCTTTTCCTTTACCCAATATCAAATTTAGTGGGCATATCAAAAACAATCTACATCTCTCCATCCTTGACACCAACAGTGATTTAAAATTAGAACCATTTAGTACTTAAAAAATTATAATACGCCCCACCTCCAAATCTCAACACCAGAGACCTCAACATCAAATTTCAAAATGTCAATTCTATCCCTTCTACGCATATTCAAAACAATTTACATATCTCCATCTTAGGCACCAACAGTGAACTGAAACTAGTACCATTTACTTTTAGAACTATTATAGCAGGCATTTGCAAATCCTACATCGGATCTCACCACCAGAGACCACAATATAGGATTTGTGGATTCCAGCTCTGTCCCTTCACCCCAATACTCAATTTAGTACCACTTAGTACTTTTCGAACAATTTTAGTACATGTTTCCAAAACCACCTCCATATCTCCAGATACCAACAGAGAGAGACAAATTTGAGGATTCCAGCCCTATCCCTCCATCTGATACCAAATGTATGTTTGGAAATGGGTCCTATATTTGTACGAAAAGTAGTACAAATATAGGACCCATTTCCAAACCGACGCTAAATCTCAAAACAGAAATACCATCAGCAATCTAAATATCAAATTATAACTCTCCCATTCACCCAATGCCAAATATAGTACCATTCAGTACTTTTCGTACAATTATAGTACACATTTCCGTAACGACCTCCACATAACCAGGCTACATGAACATTAACACAATACCAAATTTCAGATTTCAAGCACTATCTCTTTACCAAATATAAAATTGTATCAAATATAAAGAGTATTTATCTGAGAGCTGGATGATTTGAAATTTAAATAAAACGCATGCCAAATATGAAATGGCCAAAAAAAATATTTGGTAGATAGTTTCTTGTCATTTAACATCGAAATATAATTTGGGGCAATGGTCCAATATCCAAATGTCCAATTTTCGACCACCTTTTCAAGCACTTCAGGGCGTATTTCAGCAAGTACACGTTGAATATTGGCTTCCAAAGCGTCCATCGTTGTTTATCCACGTAAACCAATAACAAACCAAAAAAAAAAAAATAAATCGAGTGCCGTACTATTTTGTACTTTTCGTGCACTTGTATTGTGACAAGTTCGAAAAACCCTTTATTTTGTTTACCCTACACAACGTAAAATATCCTCAGGCCCCATTTCAGATTTCCGGCTATATTCATTCTCCTAAATACCTAAGTTCATACTATTTAGTACTTTTTGTACTTTTTACGTACGTTACGTAGAGGTGATCCTAATGCCAAATGTTAGCCTTACAATTCAATCCCTTACCCTAATACCAAATTTGATACCCTTTAGTACTTCTTAGTACGTATTTCGAAAACCACCTCGAAATCTTAACCCCACACAGTAGCAGTGATCCCAAATTTCGAATTTAACCAACATCAGTTCAGGTAATACCTAATTAAGTACCATTAGATATGTAAGCTTACTGAACGCGTTCCAATAATATTTAATATTTGCATCATTGCTAAGGTAGGAGAAAAAAAAAATATTAAAAAAATCTTAAGAAAAAATATTTATACTCTTTCCTTTTAAAATCTCCGATAAACAATTGTCTTCTATTTGCCATTCCTTGCCAATAAGCACAAGAAAATATTTTACATAATATTTATAAAACAATAACAACAACTACAATTACTTTTTTGCAGAAACATGATTTGGGCCTGCCTGTTAATAGCCTTAACAACGGTGGGGTGGATGGCAAAAGCAAAGGTGCTCTACCACCTGGTAATGGACCAAATGGAGAACTGGCTGAATTGGCAGGCAGCGGGGGGACACTGGTTAAAAGTCTAGTACCCCGACCGGCTGATGGTCTGGTTAGAGAGATCAATGACAAACGTGTTGTGTCGCACGAAGAAACAAAGAACTACATCGAAGTTGAGGATGTGCAGCATCGTGGTGACTTTTCCGATGAGGTAAGTTTTTCCAAAGTTGTTGTTGTTACCATTTCACTAGGATTCTTAATTGTTGGGTAATCTGAGATGAACAAAAGACTGCTCTGTTGTATAGCATCACAATAAATTAAGTGCAGTCTTTAAAGCTCTGTTTTTGTTCTCCCTTTGCTAGCTTCCGTCTCTATTCCCTCTTTTCTTTCATTCTCCCAATGCAATTATCTTTTTTTAATGGAGATCACAAGAAAACCTACCCCGCCCTCCACCCCCTCTCTAACAAGTTGAGATATTAAATGTTGTTCACTACTGCCAAACTGGCTGCATAGATTCGAATTCCGATTCTGCGGTAAGCAAAAATCTACTCCGGCAAAACAAGAAACCACAACCAGCTGAAGCTGAAGTAACGACGCTGCAGTCGCCGCAGCAGTTCCAGATACAGAATTCAAGCGAGGCGGCGGCAACATATTTTTCCATCGTCTCCACGCTCAGTCTGTGAGTGGAGTACAAGCCATTAAGACGTACGTGTCGTTGTGGAGAAATAGTTTCGCTACCAAAAAAAAAAAAAAAAACCGACAACAGACAACGGGTTCGGTGCGCGTATTCTCAGTTATCTCCGACAGCTTTTGAGGGGATTAGCAGCAATAAATTTTGATTATTGTGTCCAGTTGATCATAGACGGCTGGCTCTATGCGTTCGATACAGTGTTTGTTTTAATTAAAATAAAAAAAATCACAAAAAAAAAAAAACAAAAAGAAAGAAGAAAGAAAAACAGAAGCAAGAGCAGCATAAAATATTCAAAAAATACGATAACAATAAATCGAATTAAAAATTTCGTTACAAAATCGTGTCGGTTCGCTCGTTTGTGTTTTTTAATCCAATTTCAAAGGAATCATCCAAATCATTACTCCACAAAGTAAGCTGCCGAAGATTGGGAGATGGTGAAAAAACAAAAAAAAAAACAAACAAACGAAACAGAAGAAGAAACTTCAATTAAATTACATTCTAGTCAAGTCATCTCCCGTTTCATAACGTTGACCTTTGTGGAGATGTTGTTGAAGTTGTTGTTTCTTCTTGTTCTTCTCCTTCTTAGATCACAGCGTTATGCTGGTGTACTTTAAATGTATGCTGCGAGCTTCAACGTGTTTGTGTGTGAGTGTGTCTTGTTGTTTGAGAGGCACAGTCGAACATGCCAATGAAATGAAAGAAGAAGAATATTTAACAAAGAGTAGCAAGTAGCTGATATTTCAGACCATGGCAACATGGGCAGCGCCACAACTGCCGGAGAAAGGAGAAGAATAGCCACCGCCACCAGCTCTGCCAAATGCTAAAACAAAAGACTTAAGAAACAAACCTTAGAGGCATACAACTAAACCGACATTTAATCGCCTGTTTTCGTAGGCCAGCCACAACAATCGCTGGCGACTGTTGCCAGCACCGAAACCACCTACCGCCCACTTACCGTCTTGAATTAAAAAATAAAAGAACAAAAAAACAAATTATTTGTATGGCAACAAAACAACTTAATCCGAAAATAAAATTGGATTAAAACAATAACAACAGCAATGTTGTGCTGTGTTGTTGTTGTTTTTGTTGTCAGTGCAGAAGTTGTCAATTGACATAACAAAGAAGTGGATTATTAAAAACAGCAGCAAAACACATATCCAGTGATTTAATCACACATTGGTAGGCTCGCTCGCTCGCTCTATCCAAGGTGTTCACACTCCATTGAATTTGAAATAGAATGTTGAAAACGGCAAAAAAGAAAAACAGAACAAGGAAAAGCAAACGTGTATTTTGTTGTAATCACTCAATTGCACAGTGGCAAAATGCAAAATGGTGTAACTAATAAAAATTTGCGATGTTTGGAGACTCGTTGTTGTAAGCCCTTGGGACGACGAGCAAATAAAAGGAGGATTTATAACAGAGTAAATTTAATTATTCGCGGCCAAATGGCAGAAGCTAGAACGTTGCTTTTGGTATTAGGTTTACTGTTAGTGGGATTTTTGGAAAGGTGGCAAAAACACACGAAATGGTGTAAAACTGCTACAATTGACCGGGATCACCTACAGCTTTGATATTTTGTAGAAGATTGATTTTCTTTAAATTCGCACTTCAAGGTACGATAAATACCGAAAGGCACACAAGGACGAAGTCATTTTAAAATTCATGCAACAACGAATTGAATTAAAATCCAGATTTTGGTTGAATAAGAGCTAGAATTTTGAAATTCAGTTTAAAGGTCACTCCTCGAGATGTTTAGAAATTCATACTTGAAAGGGCACGAAAAGTACTAAAAAGCACTACACTGATATTCACAATATATGAGAGCTAGGGCTTCGAAAATTGACAGGAAAAACAGTCTTGGTGTAGAGCTGAGAGTTGAGTTTTGAAGATACATACATCAAGGTTAAAGACCAGTGTAATAAGTTAAAAAGTTCAGTCGGTTTTGCAGAAATATTTATACCCCATTATTTAAATATATTTGGACTTCAGTAATGATTATTTAAACTATTGACCCTCTACGGAGTAGGTTCCAAAGGAATGGGCCAATGTTGTATATTTCGTAACGGGTCTAAATAAATATGATATAATAAGGGCGACGTGCCAGGTTTGGACTAGTCAATATAGTCTCCTGCCTTCACTTCCTTAACTTTATATGAGAGATGTGATAAATTTTAGAAAATTTAAAATGTGCGTGAGTTACCAGATATAGTCGACAGAAGTATACCATTTTCATACTTCATCTAATACAGATTAAAATATTGATATGGGCAAAATCACAAGAAAATCAGACATTTATGTCCAATTTTATGCAAAATCATAAATTCCATATTCAACTCAGGTTTCTGGTTGAAAGAAATATTAAAACATAGCAAGTTGTAAAGAATCGCTGGCTTGTTTCGCAAGTTATGACAAATAAATGTTGTAAAAATTGTGCCCCATTGTGTGTGAGGTACCAGAAGGGGTTCGCCGACATATATCATCTTCACAACAGATCTTGTGTTAGCAAAAATATTTGGATGCGTGAAATTTGAGGAGAGTTCTATACTTATTTCGCTTTCTTTGAGCGAGTTTTCAAAATGCACCCTATGTGGGGGAGGTAGCAGAAGATATGGTCTGATCTCAACCATCTTTGTAACGGATCATGTGTTTATGGAAATATTGAGATGTACCAAGTCTGAATGGAATCAGATGTTAATTTCACGTTTTATGAGCTTCATTGATTTCAAAATTTTGACCCTTTGTGTGGGAGGTACCCGAAGGAGTAAACCGATTTATTCCAATTTCTCACCAAATCTTGGGTTAATAAAAATTTTATGAAGGTTGTAATAATACTTAATTTGGATTTTATTATCGTTTCGGTTATTAAAAACTTGGACGCTTTGTGGGGGAAGTACTAGAAGGAATGGTCCGATCTCTACCATCTTTATAACAGATCTTGTGTTTATGGAAATATTGAGATGTGCCAAGTCTGCATGGAATCGAATGTTAATTTCGTGTTTTATGAGCTTCCTGAATATCCAAAATTTCGACCCTTTGTGGAGGAAAGAAAGAATGTACCGATATATTCCATCTTCACACCAGATCTTGGGTTAATAAAAATATGTGTGTTATTTGAAGACATTCGGATTCTTACATCACATTTTATAAGAGTTAAATTTTTTCAAAATGTTTACCATTTGTGGGGGAGGTACTTGATGGAGTTGAACGACATTGTTCATGTTCGCACCTGACCTAGCACTGATGCAAATATTAGGATTTGCAAAGTTGGAGCAAAATCGTATTATCCTGTCTTTATCTCTGTGCAGCAAAGTATTTTCTTTAAAAATTTCGACCATTTGTGGGGGAGGTACCAAAAGGAGTGGACCGATATTGTCCATATCTGAACTCAATCTAAGTTTGGTAATAATATTACGATGTACCAAGTTTGCACCAAATCGGATAATTTCTTCAAGTGTTTCGTACGCATCAAACAAAAAACAAATGTAGGGATGGACATCGCTAGATCGAATCCAAATGTCTTGAAAAGGTCTAAACCCGATATTTCCACTAGGCACGTTTTGACCTATCATATAGCTGAGGGCATAATAAACCTCCTAATTTTACCTATACAGAGCAACATTGAAATTTTAGAACTCTAGCCTTACCAGTTCTCTCAGCAGTCGCACTGCTTTCAGAACATTATAGAGCATAACATATGAGCGTATTGATATCATATATCACTATGCTTTGAAAAGTTTTAGAAGATATAATGTACATTTTGATGGAGTTACCAGATGGTGTAGAACGAACTCAATTCAGTTTTTGTCAATTTATATACGCCTTCCGGGGTTTATAATCCTCCCACCCACGAAAGTAGGTAGAAAGACGAATTATAGGGTATATAGAATACCAATAAACCGATATAGCCAATAAATCCACATGGGGTCTAAAACAGCGTTCACGTATGTGATGAAGTTTTCGCATACGCATGCGTATATACCCGAATGTATACGCCAACCACAACACAGTGAACAAATACTTAGGTGTTTGTGTGTTGAATGACTCATACATTCTTATTTCTCATACATATGCGTTTAAGTCGGGTCTCATTGTGGTCGACACTGGTCTAAAGCCTATGGTAAAAAGCTGAAGATATGACAAATTTTGGTTTGTTATAAAATTCTGAAATAAAACTGGGGCTAATTATATTCGTCTAAAATTCTTCATCTCAGGATGAATCATTATATATGGGGGCATATAAATAAGTCCCCGACTTTTTCTTCTTCCGTGTTAGCTGTATCAGCGAGGAAGTACTGCTATCACCTGTTAATTTCATAACAGCTTGATCCCATGTATCTACCTTACAAATAGGATGTAACTAAGCCTCTTTCATTAAGTTTGAAAAAGGAAAATATTCACAGGGAGGCTATATTCATAGAATATGGCGGGGAAAATGGAGATTCGTTACTACATTCATGCAATTATCACAAAAGTTAATTTAATAACTTCACACAAGATGTGAATTCAGACTATTAAGGCTG